TTCACCACGTTGGCTCAGTATTTTCTCAATTTCATGATCTATATTTCTTAGTCATATTCTTTGATTGGAAAGATGCTGTTTTTGGATATTCTATGTTGAAGGTCCTGTATGTAGGAAGAAATTGTATTGTTCATGTAGTCTAGTTTTCATTGTTGTCTGTTAGCCGAAGAGATTGCACTGTTTGAATAAAATTGTGTTGAGGAGCTTTGGTAGGCAATTAAAGCATTCCTTTGTATTCACCACAATGGTGATGAAATAAAGATCCAAATTTGGTTGAACGGGGAACTGGGGGTTGGGAATATTTTATCATATGTGTAAATTAAGACCACATTCTTACAAGATAATTTTATCTTCCTTTAGGCTCGGAATAATTTAGAAGGCATTTGACTCAAAAATGTAATAATTTTTTATCTAGCTACTAGCCTAAGGAAATGATGTTTTTAACTTTCAGTTTTGAATGCTGATTCTGCATAATTGTGAATGCTGGTGCTTTATTTTAAGTCTCACATATATAGGGTGTGGTGTTGAAACTATGATGTATACCTTTTTATATTTGCTGTAATATATTTTCTTATTGGTATAAGGTTTTGTACAAGAGCAGATGTGACAATCGCCTCAATGAGATCACAGAAAGGGCATCTGCTGATAGACGTGAGGTATGCTGTTGGATACTTGAGACTAAGCACATATTTGCATTAATCTTTACCTACTGTCTTGGCTTAATGAATACTACATGAATCTAGGCTGAGTCCCTGGCTAAGAAATATGAAGAGAAATACAAACAAGCTGGAGATGTAGCTTCCAAGTTGACTATTGAAGAAGCCACGTTTCGTGATTTACAGGTACCCTTCACCACATATAAATTTGTGGACAATTAGTGACCCCATGTAGTGTATTTGCTTTTGCTCATTCGAAGATCAAGGTGTTAAAGGCTTGCTGTTTGTTTTGTTAGATCTGAGTCATAATTGCCTGTACATGTGATGTGAGATGGTGTGCTTTTATTTTTTATGAGATAAGTGCCAATCAAAATTAAAAAACAAGTATGACTAGGACGTTTTACTTTTTGGAGAAACAAAGAGAATTGTTTTATGGTTTTTGGGCTCGTTGGGATAGATAGCTGATGACAGAGAAAGTAGTGTGGGAAAATAGAATCAGTTGAATGGTCATACCCCTAGCAGTGTATTCATTTTATTATCACTGGACTGATTATCTTATGTGATTTATTTGCAGGAGAAGAAAATGGAGCTATACAGGGCAATTGTCAAGATGGAGCAAGAAGGTGATGGTGATGGCATGCTTCAGGTACCTTTGCACAACCTTGCTGTTTAAAAAATATCTTTGCTCAACTTTTCTAAGATCATTTCCAACTGAAATTTTCAGGATCGTGTTGATCGCATCCAATTAGATCTTGATGGGCTTGTGAAAACTCTCAATGAGCGCTGCAAGAACTACGGATTACGCGGAAAGCCTACAACATTAACTGAGCTTCCCTTTGGTAAGTTGATCTCTTAGCTAATTTCTTGGAAATCTAAGAATACTATATATAATGATAAGGGTACTTACATTAGCTTATTCTTTATCAAACTATCTGATGGATTGCACATAGAACACACTGTTTTTGGATATACTTTTGCTTTGGGTAGTCAAATAATTTCAATTTATTAATAGCATTGCCTTTCTAGAAGCCGAAAGTCATTCTGTTGCTAAATTATCAATATCCTACACAGAAACCCTTATTTTCACTATTGTAATTTTTCCTAATCACTCTGGTTTGTTTGATTATCAATAGTCGTATTCTACGTAGCTTTCATGAATGTGTCATTTTCTTTTTTGTTATTGTTCACTGCTGCGGTATTTGTACTACGTTGCATTTTATAATCTGAAAATTTATTTTATTTTCATATAGGCTGGCAACCTGGCATCCAAGAAGGAGCTGCTGACTGGGATGAGGATTGGGATAAATTTGAAGACGAAGGTATTGCCAAAAATGAGTTATTATAGGTCCAGTATTGTCTCTGAGATAATAAATTTCTTGTGGCACTTAAGATTCCTTTTACCTTTCACCTTGTGGTAAATGGATCATATTGCCCGCTTTTTGTAGTTTTTGTCGTCTGGTTGTGGTTTGCCATCCTGTTTAGGAGTTTTAGCTATTTGAGGTGATTGATTCAGAAGTTTAATTGTCAGGATTCACTTGTGTCAAGGAGCTCACTCTTGATGTGTCAAATGTCTTGGCACCTCCAAAACAGAAATCATCATCAGTTCAGAAAGAAAAAGCTCCCCAAGTTGAGAGTCCAACAACTGCTTCTTCACTTAAAGTTGATGTTAAGTCTGAAAAGCCTCAAAGTACAGATGAGAGGGTCGTTGAAAATGGAGCAGCATATGATAAAAATGAGGACGAGTCAGCAAAAAGTGCTCCGAACAGTCCATTTGCCAGCAGTACTGTTGGAAGCCCATCTAGAGAATTTTCAGATTCTAACTATGGAAAGACAACAGATGCAGATGCCTCACCCCGTAATAAGAAATCTCAAAGGTATAGTTCTCGATCTGTAGTTTTCTACATATTTCACCCTGATTGGTGCAAAGTTGTTGATATTCTAAACTTTCATGCTCAGTCATGATCATGCGGGTGCTGGGTCTATGTTTTCTGGCGACAAAGGTTCCGATGAACCAGCATGGGGGACATTTGACAATAATGATGACGTTGACTCGGTGTGGGGTTTCAATGCAGTTAGTACCACCAAGGTAAGCCGATATTGTCCGTTCAGTAATTATTTATTTTTATTTTTATTTTTGTATTTTTTTGTATTTTAGATTGCATTCAGTATTTATTTATTAGAACTCAATTGTTTGACCTTGTGTTTATGGTGACTGGATATTGCTTCATGATTGCTGTTAATACCACTTAGTTGTTTGTGGTGGTGACCACTTATCCTTGTTTTAAGAGTTTGCCTTAAGTGTCCTAATGCTTGCTGAGTTGTTTAGTTATTAAAGATGGTTCTGGGAATTGTAACATTATTTGAGTAGTTTCTATCTTCACCATTCTGATGGTTTCATCGTGCAATCAGTTAGTAGTATGGGTCTTTCAACCAAGTATGGCGAAACTGACTTTCCTGATTTTAGTTTTGGTTCACTGTAGATATAAAAAGAAGGGGTTGCGGGATTGTTCTTGGTGCAATTAATTGCACATTGAAGGGGACTCTGATTTAAGCCTTAGGTCTTGGTTAATCTTAGTCAAGATCTTTTTTGTGTTGACAACTTGACATTAACAAGAGATGGTGCCATATTGCGCCCACTTTTCGAATATTGACGGTTTCCAGGTTAACAATGTATTAATCATTGTTTAAAATAGTGACTGGAAAAAAGAAAGGAAAACTAATGAAAAAAGTTTGAAAATTTTGAGTTTTAACGATAAGGACAAAATAAAAGGGAAAGTGAATAGTACCAAGTTTGATTTTTTTGTGTAAAAATTTGGTTTTTCATTAAAGTGAACAGTACCACGGGCTTTTCTTTAAAACTCCCTAAAAAAGAAAGTTATGTTTCAAGTTAAAAAACTAGCATTCATTGTCATGTTAGAAACACTTCTTGTTAACATTTTGTAGCCGATGGAAAGTTTCCATTATTTTGCACCTTCCAAGTAGGCATGGACTCTAGGTTCCAGTGAATCTGCTTTCTTTTCTAATAGCATGTCGGTTATGTAGCACTTTCAAGCTTTTTGTTTTTGTGGTTTTATATTTGTTGTTATTGCTGGCATGCTGGATTGTGCTGTAACTGCTCATAATCGTGTCTGATGTAGGATATGGATCAGGAGAGTAACAAGGATCACTACTTTTCTGGCCCTGGGGAGTTTGGCCTCAACCCTATCAGGACTGGGTCATCACAAGGAGGTGGCTTTTCCCAGAAGAGCCGCCCTTTTACTTTCGACGATTCTGTTCCTAGCACACCACTCTCAGCCTTCAATTCAGGGTATTCACCGCCAAGGTACAAGGATAGCTCAGAACCTTCATTTGACACCTTTTCTAGGTTTGATTCGTTCAAAAGCACACAAGATACTGGATTTTTTCCTCAACCAGAAACACTCGGAAGATTTGATTCTATGCGCAGCAGTAGAGATTTTGATCATGGTAATGGTTTTCCAACATTTGATGACATCCCAGACCCGTTTGGCTCTTCGGCGCCATTTAGGTCATCGCTGGAAAGTCAAACTCCAAGAAGAGACTCAGACCCCTTCGGATCTTCAGGTCCATTTCGGACGTCACTGGAGAGTCAAACTCCAAGAAGAGAATCAGATTTTTTCGGGTCTTCGGCAGCGCCATTTAGGACATCATTTGACAGTCAATCGGCAGCGCCATTTAGGACATCATTTGACAGTCAAACTTCAAGAGGAGACTCGGACGCATTTGGGTCCTCTCCGTTTAGGACATCATTCGATGGTCAAACTCCAAGAAGAGACTCGGACCCATTTGGGTCTTCAGGGCCTTTCCGAACGTCATTGGAGACTCCGAGAAAAGACTCTGATCATTGGAGTGCATTTTAGTCAGGTGGTTGCTCTGCTTCGTTTTTGTGTCTGCTATTTGCCGTTCCAAGCCTTTCTATCGTGAGTGTTACGGGCCGTGGCCATGTTTTATGCTTGAAATCACTGTGCTTGTAATATGTCTTTTGTATTTCATTTATTTGTGTATGTATCTCGCTTTGTCTTCATTCTTTTTCCTTTAGCTTATAAGTTTTCTCCGTAATTTTGGAATGTTCCTAGTCCTGTTGAAGCGAAGACCCCAATAGTTTTATCGCTGTTACAAATTTGACGATTGTATTATTAAACTGGGGCTGTGCCTTTCCATTTTTTTTTGGTTGGCCTTAATTTGCTGTAAGTTTTTACCCTCCTTAATAAAATTTGTTCTCCTGATCTTTCTTTGTTCAAACAAGAACACTGTTTTGCCGGTGTTAGTCCAATCGGCCCTAGGCCTGTTGTGTTAATTAATGTCCACGTCTATGATACAAAGGCGAATTTCAAGATGCCGTTGGACTTGATTAAAGATGAGAAATATGATATTGCACACTTTGTCCACAACATTGCGCTTTATAATGTAAAAACAATACTAAAATGGTAAGAGCCTTGCCTATTTGTCGGTCTTATTTCTTTAACTTGCCACTCTCTTCAGCGCCGTGCAGCCTTCAGCTTCAACATTACATTAAGATTGAAGCTGCTTGATTGAACTTGCCATTCTTCTCAAGGCGATAGCAGTCTCTTATATCCAAGTAAGAAATGTTTTCGTTAGACCACACTGATTCAGGCAACTCCTCTATACCACTGAAATGTAAATCTAAGTATTCAATATTTCCTGGCATCTCTGGAAGATACTTGAGATTCATGCAGCATGCAAGATCAAGATGAGTAAGCTTGTGGAGATGTTGTGATTCAGGCAACTCCTTTATACCAGCGTAATGTAAATCCAAGTATTTAATATTTCTTGGCATCTTTGGAAGATACTTGAGACTGGTGCAGAATCTAAGATGAAGATGAGTAAGCTTGTCAAGATGTTGAAAACACCCAGGAATTTCAACCAAACTTTCACAGCCAGAGAGATTTATGTTCACAATGTTTAGACTCCCAGAGAGATTTGGAACTTCAGTTAGATTTGTAGAGTCATGCAGATCGATCACTTGTAAGTTCACAAGTCTCTGTATCAAGAGTAAATAGAAATATAAAGAATTAATATAATTTCTACACTTGATTTTATACAAGAATTAAAATAGGCATATAATATAATATACCTTCTCTTCTTTCCAAAGCTTCTTAACTTTGCTATTGGGCATATGAAGCTCAACTAGATTTTCCGGAGAAAAATTTGACGGCAAATATTCCAATGGATATCCCCACCACTCAAGATAACGAAGAGAATTGGGAAGGTCTATAGAAGCGTTGAATTTGTAGCCACCATACACAACTAGCAATCTCAGGTTAGACATCACTTTGAAGTCTACACGTTTCAATGGTAGCTCTGCAATGTTATACGAAGTAAGGAATATGGCTTCAACATTTGAAGTTTCCTGACAATAAGAAGAAAGTTTAAATGTGAATATATGTATGTGTTTTCAACATATTAAAATGTAATGTGCACTTGGAAAAGGAATTCTACAACGTTACATAATAATTTAGTATTTGCGATGGTAATGATGTACAAGTGTCTAAAATATCCAACATAATTGTATCCTCCTCTACTTGTCTTAAAAAACAAACATTTGTTCATATTCCAAAGACTTCCTAACACAATAAAAATTCAATCAAATTAAATTTTTTTTTTTTTTTTTTTACACGAATCTGATTTCTTTTTATAAATGCAAAAACACTACTCTTACCATCTAATTATACCGTCAATTGTACAGTCTCTATTAATCTCTAATAAAGATGAGACTCATATGTGTTTTTTCTACGAAAAGAAAAGAAAAAAAAATTGAGTGCATTTGACTCTTACCGTGTTACTTTTCAAAACATGATAAACATCCTCATCATTGAACAATCTACTCCGCTTACCGGAATCTTCAATGCATTGTTCTTGAACAATTGTCCTTCCCATTTCTTCAAGCAGATCATGCATCTCGATGGTTTCCCGTTCCCATCTTGAACCAATTGATATGAAAGACATATCAATGAGAATTCTAATTCCGACCGTTGCATAGAATCCACGAACATCTAACAATTGTTTTACCTCATCCACACCATGCCCTTTATGAAAACATGCTATATCCAAAAATATCTCCTTCTCATTTCTTCCCAATCCATCATAACTTAATCTCAACACTCTCTGGATATTTTCATTGGGAAATTGTTTCAATTTGTCCAATTCAGCTTCCAGGTCTTCTTTGCTCTTGCAATTTAGGAATGAGGACCCCAGAAGTATAAGAGCTAAAGGAATGCCTCCGGCATAATGCATCGCCTTTTCTGCCAACCCCTTATAATCTATTATACGAGAATTCTTGAAAGCACGCGAACAAAAGAGCTGAAGAGCGTCATCCGGTTTTAATCTCCCAACCTCATAGATTTTACCCTCTTCAACAGTTTGCCTAAGTGTGCCTCTGTTTCTACTTGTGATAATGATTCTACTTCCATTACCAAACCGAATACGATTGCCAACTAAACCTTCCATTTGCATTGAATCACTCACATCATCAAGAACAATGAGGACGTTTGTACGGCTAAGCCTATCTCGAACAAAAGTTGATCCTATGGATAGACCTTCTTCCTTTAATATCTGACTGAGAAGTGTATTTTGCAAGTGTTGTAACCCATCCTTTTGTTCTCTCTCCCTAACATTTCTAAGAAAACAACATGCTTCGAATTTAGAAGAGAGTTTGTTAAACACGGCTTCAGCAAGGGTGGTCTTTCCCATACCACCCATTCCCCAAATACCAACACTGATGCAAGCGTCCTGTGAATGAATGTCTAATAGCGATTCAATTTGCTCGATGCGGCTTTCAATTCCAACTAGGCCCTGTAAATCGCATGATGATTCATGACACAATTTGGTCAAAATATCCTCTACAACTTTCTTAACCAAATCAGCATCCGTCCTGGCATATATATGTATAATTATGTAGGAAAGTAATAGTTAGTCTTAAATCTATATACCTAGCACAAACAAAATCGACACAAGTTTAAAGAAAATTTAAAATTTTATACAAGTTAAAGAATTCGTTAGTTACCCATAATTTTTTGAATCAAAGCCAGATGTATTTGCTGCATTTGTCAAAGCATCCCTCCACTTGCGCACCTTGCCGATACTGTTCTCGAAACGTTGTTCACAGTTAATTTGGGATATTGTCATTCATGATTTATAAGAAGAATAACTGGAAATCGATTTGTATGCATTTAATTCATGTGTGGAGAAGAATTCTTAAGCTATCATTTTATCCATATTTCATTCACAACTTAATTTACTTGCTGCCATTTAATTTTGTTTTCATTAAATTCGTCCAAAATCCTAAACTAACTATGTAGGAAAGTAATAGTTAGTCTTAAATCTATATACCTTACAAAATCTTAGCACAAATAAAATCGACACAAGTTTAAAGAAAATTTAAAATTTTATACAAGTTAAAGAATTAGTTAGTTACCCATAATTTTTTGAACCAAAGCCAGATGTATTTGCTGCATTTGTCAAAGCATCCATCCACTTGCGCACCTTGCCGATACTGTTCCCGAAACGTTGTTCAAGTAGATCAAGTGCATAACTCCCCCGTTGTTTTCGTACATCCGATGGAAGGATGTCGTAAAAAATGGGTATAACCAACTGGCCATGGTTTTCCTTGCATTCTAGGATATGCACAAGCTCATCCAAACACCACGGGGAAGAAGCGTAGTTTTTTGAGAAAATGATCACCGAAAGCCGTGATTTTTCGATTGCTTTGAGAAGGGCAGGTGCGATTTCATCTCCTCTCTTAAGCTTGTCATCAACGTAGGTTGTGATTTTTTTCTCAAGCAAGGCAGCGTGAAGATGGCTGGTAAAAGTACGGCGGGTGTCCTCACCTCTGAAACTAATAAACACATCGTACTTTTTTGTAACAGCAGCATCAGCAGGAGTAGCAGCGGATGAAGAAGAAGAAGAAGAAGAAGAAGAAGAAGCCATATTCATAATCTCCAGTTTTCAGATCCAGGGAGTTGTTGCAGAGAGAATACTTGTTAATTGGAGGGGGAGAGAGAGAGAGAGAGAGAGAGAGAGAAACTAGTTTAGAAATAAGGATACAAAAGAAAAATAAAACCTTCTCCGCATTTAAGAAGGAAGTCCGGAGCACGGGAGTGAGGGATGGGGCCCTCCCATTACGCGCTGTGCGTACTCAGTTTTGAATTTTCCCGGTTAGTTCGTTAGAGACCAAAGTCTTTCAACAAATTTTCATGCCTGGTTACGAGAAAAGTAAGTGGTGAATCATCTTTATGGTTAGATTATTTTTCTTTACTCTATGTATCTCTAGTTCATACCTTTCATGTTCCCTTTAATATAAATTAGTATAGAATATCGCTTGTAATTAAAAAAAAAAAAATCCAAGTGTTTCTCCTTCAATTGATGTGTTTACACCTTTTACCTTTTACTTACAAAACTTTGAACTTTTTCCGTTGGTGACCAATTTCTTTCAAGAAATTTCCGAGCACTTTCAATTGAGTGCCTTTTTATAATTCCTAAAGCAATTAAAAAAAAAACAAGTGAATTTCACACTACAAAATCATGGAGAGCTAAGAAGAATTGGATAATGGGGGCCGAGTGGTCCCTTATGTTATATTTTTTTCATAAAGCAAAACGAATCGTTCTTTCTATGTTATATAAATCTTTTAGAACAAAACAATGTGGCCCTGATGTTATATATTTTTCTGAAAATTTAACTTTCCCCCTCCAAACTCATTTTTTCTAGCCTCTAGCCCATCATATAATATTTGTCCGAATAAAACCCAACGATTAGGATCCAACTAAGCAACTTACCAAATTAAGTTTGTGCGTCCGTTTTTATAATTTTTTGGATCCTTAATATACCCTATCTAAGCCAGTATGAAAAGTTCTTGTAATTTTGTTTTAATTGATCACGTGCATTGAATTTGGCAAGGTCTTGTATCCATGAAATATGGTTCTAGATGGAGGAATTAATTTGGTATTTTGTTTTTAATCTCGACAATAAATTTCAATTTGAATATACCTAATTTAGTGTTTATTTTCAACAATATCTATTGTTTAATTTTATGAAAATAATTTACCTACTATGAAAATTAATTTTATGAAAATAATATCTATTGTTTAATTTTATACCTATAGTATAATTACATGAAAATAGTTTACCTACTATGAAAACTAATTTTTTGAAAACAATATCTATTGTTTAATTTTATGAATATAATTTACCTAGTACATAATTACATGAAAAGAATTTACCTACTATGAAAATTAATTTTTTGAAAACAATATCTATTGTTTAATTTTATGAAAATAATTTACCTACTGTATAATTACATAAAAATTAATGTGCCTACTTTTTAAACTTGTAACAAAATTAAATTACCTACTTCTTTTTATGGTAATAGTGTACATAAATGTAGAATATATGTCTGTATATATTTGATCTAATTAGGTTTTGGATTGGAGGAGTTCACACAAAATTAAAAATATATTAAACAAATTAAATGTCTAAAAAGAAACGTATAAGAGATTTGGTGGCATGGTTTTGTAAATAAACACAAATTTATGGACATCTTTTATCCAACATGACATTGTCATCTCGAGGGATTGTACATAGAACACATTGTTTTTGGATATACTTTTTCTTTGGGTAGTCAAATATTTCAATTTATTAATAGCATTACCCTTCTAGAAGCCGAAAGTCATTATGTTGTTAAATTATTAATATCCTACACAGAAACCCTATTTTCACTATTGTAATATTTTCCTAATCACTCTGGTTTGCTTGATTATCATTATTCGTGAATGTGTCATTTTCTTTTTTTGGTTGTTCACTGCTACGGTATTTGTAATACGTTGCATTTTGTAATCTGAAATTTTATTTTATTTTCATATATATAGGCTGGCAACCTGGCATCCAAGGAGCTGCTGACTGGGATGAGGATTGGGATAAATTGAAGAAGAAGAAGGTATGCCAAAAATGAGTTATTATAGGTCCAGACTTCCAGCATTGTCCCTGAGATAGCACTTAGATTCCTTTTACGTTTTCACCTTGTGGTAAAAGGAACATATTGCCTGCTTTTTGTAGTTTTTGTTGTCTGGTTGTGGTTTGCCAACCTATTTAGGAGTTTTAACTATTCGAGGTGACTGATTCAGAAGTTTAATTGTTAGGATTCACTTTTGTCAAGGAGCTCACTCTTGATGTGTCAAATGTCTTGGCATCTCCAAACCAGAAATCATCACCAGTTCAGAATGAAAGGGCTCCCCCAGTTGAGAGCAAGCCTAGCATTGCTGGTTGCTCGGGGGACGGGCGAGAGAAAAGGGGCCTGAGGCCCTGTGGACCGGCTCCAACATTGGAGAGCCCGAGTGGAGGTGGAGGCCTGAGTTCCGGGCCCGTGGAGAATTGCCAGCCTAAGAGCCCGAGTGGATGTGACGCCAGCACTGACGTCAACCTAGCGTCAGGCCTTTTTTAATTTTTTTTCTGTCAGACGCGTGCACCCCACTCGCGCGTGGGGGCACGTCGCCGACACAAAATCAGAAAAAAAAGTGCTTTTTCAGTTACTGTTGGGAAGCCACGTGGCTTCCCACGGTCCGTTCGATCTCAGCGGTCAAAAAAAATTAAAAAACTCTTATTTAATATCCACCGTTCGATCTGAGATCAACGGTGGATATTAATATGCTTTATAAATAAAAAAATAAAAGAAAAAATAGTTTTAAAATTAAGAAAAGTTACCGTTGTGACACGTGGCACAATTTGGAGTGTTGGAATTCAAATTTTTTTATATCCAACGGCAAAGATTAATTAGTTGAATAAAAATTTAAAAAAAATTGTAAAAAATTCAAAAAAAAATCTGAAATTTTTTTAAAAAAAATTGTTTTTACTTTTCTATAAATACCTTCTCATTATCATCTACCTTACACAACAATTTCATATTTTCTCAACTACTTTCAATCACATTTCTTTCTTTCTCTCAAAGTTTCAATCTATTTTTTTTCAACAAAATGACTACTGATGTAGGTACGAATTGGTCGCTTCTTGAAGATGTTGTGTTGTGTACTAGCTAGGTTGAAGTTACTCATAGTTCGCTTACGGGTAATGAGATGCAGTTGCGAGAAATGTGGAGTCTTATTCATACCAATTATCTTGAGAAAATTGGTGGGAAAAGAACCAAAGAATCGATGTCCAGTCGTTGGAAATTACTTAGCCAATCATTTAGTACGTGGAGAGACGCTTTGACACAAGCTAGTAGTAATATTCGAAGTGGGGAAAATTACTCGGATCAGGTAACAATATATTATTTATTTGATACCCAAATTTACATTATAATTATTTGTTTGTATTATTTATTTGTTACGTACTTACATTATAATAATTTGTTTGTATTATTTATTTGTTACCTACTTACATTATAATTATTTGTTTGTATTATTTATTTGTTACTTATTTTCATTATAATTATTTCTTCTCCCGCATTGTGTAGGAACTTCAAGCACAAGCTTGGTACGCTGCCAAAACCAAAAGCAAAAATAAATCATTCAACCGGTGGGAATGTTGGAATATTGTCGAAGATTGTCCTAAATTTAGAGTTGTGCCAGTCGGTCCAGAAGTTTTCATGAACAACACCCATCTACACTCTACACCCGATCATGTCTCGCATGTTCATGAAGATGATGCAGAAGAAGTGCCCAAAATGCCCCTCCCTGAACAAGCGTCGAGTTCGACCCTCTATCCAATTAGGCCTCAAGGTAAGAAGGCTTCAAAGAGAAAAGGGAGTGCTTCCAAGAATGATTATGCAAAGTTCATGGAAGAACTTACTCGCCAAGGTGAATTGACTTTGGCGAGGGAACTGGCGAAATATGAGGCTGATAAGGCTAGAGAGGACGCAAAAGCTGCAGCTATTGAGAGAGAATTTCAGGCTAATGAGAGAGAAAGAGAGCTACTTAGGCAAGAAAGGGAACATGTTAGAGAAGAAAGACGGGCTCAACGAGATCGTGAGATTATGAACACGCCTTTAGAAGGGAAGTCTCCAAATTCTAAATCTTTTTGGAAGTCAGAGAAAACAGACGTGGTGTGAAGGAGGCGTGCAAGAGAAGCGAGAGCAAGCCAAGATGGTCCTAGCACCACAAATTGGTTAAGTGATGATGAATAGAGTAGTTTTTGTAATCGGAGCCCATAATTTTCCAATCATTTTGGGTTGTAATTTATTATTTATTGAATATAGGTCTAGGTCTTGTTGTTTCCAATTTATTGAATATTTATTCAAATGAATTTGGTAAGTTATTTATACTAAGAGAATATTTATTGAAATGACAAAAACACACCAAATAAAATTACATAAGCATACCGAATAATAAAACACACCAAATAAAATTACATAAACATACCAAATAATAAAAAACTCACTAAAAAAATTACATAAACATACCAAATAATAAAACACACCAAATTAAATAACATAAACATACCAAATTAAAAAAAACACACTAAATGAACTTAATTATCTTCAGCTTGTTTCAATGCCCACTGGTACTCTATCAAGTCAATTTGTCGGGCTTGTGCATATTTGGCATTTGAAATGCAGTATATCGTTGAATGAGCCTTTCATTGTAATGTCCATCCCTTTGTAATGGCTCATGTTGTACGGGTTCATCGGTGGCGTCATGAGCACAATATATACGTGTTCTTGAATTGTTCATCGTGTCTGGCTCATATTCATCAACGACTTCATAATCGTACTCATCTTCCACAATCATGTTGTGAAGAATGATGCACATTATCATGATGGATCGAAGCGACTCTACATCAAACAATCTGGTAGCACCCCTTACGATCGCCCAGCGAGCTTGGAGGATACCGAAACAACGCTCCACATCTTTCCTGCACCTCTCTTGACAGCTTGCAAAGTGTTTTTCCTTTGCACTTCGCGGACGTGGCACTGTTTTGACAAATGTTGACCATCGCGGGTAAATGCCGTCAGCTAGGTAGTATGGCCCGTCGTACATACGTCCGTTGACTTCATACGTGACTTTTGGTGCCTTTCCTTGCAGGAC